CGCTCTAAAATATGCACCGGCGGCATTTTTAATAGTGAAAGAGAACCATCGTATATAAGAATCATCGCATAATTTTTGCTTATTTCAATTGTCATATGAATATTGGAACTAGGTCCAAAAAATTTTTATAATTAACTATTATAATTTATATTGTATAATAAATTTTTATAATTAAATAACAATGCAATTAGAATTTAGGACATAAAAATTGATGAAGATTCAATAATTTATGCATAATAGTATAAATAAATTAAATACACGTGATGTAGTAAATAATATATATTACGTAATTATACGTGTACGTAAATTTATTCTAAATATTATTTAAAGTGACCACGCGCCCATACTAAATAAATTTCTTTCCTATGACAAATAATGACGACGCTTAAAGAATATTTCCGCCACTTTACATACTTCACCAAGGTTTTACACCTAATCGCCGATGCTCTCTGGCGAGATTCAACGCTCCAAAAGCATACGAATCATTTCTCTGACCATTGGCCGCCATTTTCACCTCGCTTCTATCCCTAGAGAAATTTCCATGAAATATTGCGCTCAGTCACGTAACATGAATTGCGACCGTGGAATTTCCGATTCACTTGCCTTATGTTCGCGCATTTGCCCCTGAATTTCCACTTATATGCACCCGCTCTATCTGAAAGATCGTGATTGAAAAGTCTGAAAAAAAAAAATCAAATATCATTTTGAAGAGAAAGATTTCTGCAAGTATCACGAAGATACGATATTTAATATTTGTTTTATGCGTGCTGTACATATTGCGCGTATCAAATACATTTTTAAAAGTACTTTCGCTAAACGGACTCTAGTCTCGCACAAAGGTAATACATAATTCTATAAGGGAGACACATGGCAGAAATTTTGCAAATTTCCGTTTCTTCCGTGCCGTATAAATTCTCGACGCGTTAAAATGCATGCCGCCGTTCGGGCGGAACGACGTCTTTGGAAGAACATCTCGAAGTAATTTTTCTTTCCAGCAGCGAGTCCCAGCGAAATGGTTCTGGCGAAGCTGGTTGCGGGAAGATCGAGAGTCTCCGATTGTTTTTTTAGAATTTTTTGAGTTCACCCGCAGTGGCAGACAGAAAGAGAGGGGAGAGGGGAGAGGGACAGAGAGAGAGAGAGAGAGAGAAAGGGAGAACCGTGCGCCGCCGCCGTGCAATTTCAAACGTTACGATGTCCCCCGGGAAGTGAAGCTACAAAGTAATTTTTCCCTCGCTTCTCTCTCGCTCGCTCGCTCACAGGATATTCCTGGTGAAACTTAAAAGTGCCGCGAAACCCAGTTTGCCTCGCATGACCCCTTTTGAAGCTCGCCTATGTAGTCCAAGCACTTGAATAACGACGTTCCCCGTTCATAACGTACAGCGTTCTACGACGTTGTGCATAGATACTACTCGTGTAACCTAAACCACGCTTTCAATATCATATCGTACGTTATACGCTCGCAATTGTTCTGAGAAATTCATGTGCGGACATCAATGCGCATTGGAAAGCTAATAAAACCTTTACGCCAGGAAGGCCATTAGAATTCAGGGTTGCAACTTAAATCGGCTGCGGCACGTTGCTTTTTTATGGACAAATGGTCGATCGCCAAATTGACGCGTTAATTATGAAACGAGCAATATCGCGGCTCCGAATACGAGCACGGAATATCGAATCGACCATCCAATTTAACCCTTTACAGTCCCTCATTCGATGGGTTAGATAGGATCAAATTATCAATTCATACAAAATAGCGAAACATGAACGCGCGCATGACAAAATAAATTATTAAAATAATTTTTATCATCAACAAAATATTAATCGAGTAGAAATAATTGCAATAAATAATAATGTTTAATCAATTCTAAACATAGACAGATATATTTATCTATCATCGATACACGTAAAAGTAACAAAATTCGTCAAAATAACAAAATACTATCTTTTTAATAAAATTCAGTGATTTGTGCCGTGATAGCAATAAACAAAATCGACTGACCTAGTAAATAACTCCATAGATTAAATCTTCGAAAATATCGATGCATGCATCCACTGAGCACATTCAATGGCCTCGACTGTACTCTTTTAATACGGTCTTTTATTACAGTTGACATTTGGATGCAAGCCAGTTTAAGACTTTCTCTGCTATTCTTGCCTCTTTTCCCAACTTCCTTCTACATTTCCGCTTCCATACTCAAGAATATTAACGGTACACTATAAGCTCACATGCAGAATGTATATATTTTACAATTTTTTAATGAAAGCGCAGTTGTGATAAGTACTGTTTAATGCAAAATTTTGATGATGATTTTCTGATTTTAATAGCTATTCAAGTTCCTCTCGAATAACTCTCAATGATAAATATTTCAATAAACTGTACTGTTTTGCATTTATATTATGAATCGTGTATTATCATCTCTTCAAATGGCTACCATATTATTATTTAAAAAATATACACTTCTAGGAAAAAAGTAAAATAATTTGTAGTTCTTTAAATAATCTTAAAAATCTTTATATTGTTATATTCTAATCTCTTCATCGTCTATATACTTTGAAGTATAACATTAATCGAGATCAACGATTTAATCTAAAAAGTAAAGACCGGATGAAATTATTTATACTAATTATTCATCATAGAAGAAAGCGGATTAAACACGAGATTATGAAAATTTATTTCAAAAGCGGAAACCAATATCGACTCGTAGTTAATGGTGAAAGCTAAGCGTGACGCATGCGACGAATGTAACGTTACTATTCAGTGCAACTGAATAGATTCGGTTCAATATCAATCGTCTATAGAAGTGAACGATCGTATAATCGTCGTTCGAACCGGTGGGTGTATGGTTTCAACAATATCGTTCACATGGCACTAAATCACTTCCTATTCATTAATCATCAAGCGGTACGTTACGTCATAATGGATTTATATCTCATTTCGGTATATTTTACCTGCTCTGTTAAATTCATATAGTACGAAAATAAAAGTTCCTCATTTTAATGACATTATATTACTTTACACGGACAATCAATTGATATATTTAAACGAAATTTTTACAGCAAAATTGGAATTCTGGAATTGTCTTTCTGTAAAAAATGTTTTAATAACGAAACAAAAATTTTTTAATAAATAGACTTTATAATCTGCATATAAATTTTCGATCTATCTAAAAATCAAGTTATTTTTCTACAAAAAGACAAAAATTTTGTTTTAATTTATTTTCTTGCAAAAATTCTTGATAATTATCGATTTGAAAAATAACATTGTTTACATAATACGCTTCACTTAGATGAAACTATTCAGCTATTCAATAACGTCGTAAAATATTTTTAAAATACGACGTGATGAACCGCGAATTCCGTAATGATTATTGCCAACTAAAGTTAGCTTCGTGCAAATATTTCCGTAAGACCATCGGAAGTTCAAACAACGCCGAGGCTTTCAGAACCCCAGCCGGTGCAGAAAGCGACGTGTATGGCCAGCCGAGTATGAACGAACCGCATTCCCGCGGTCAACGAGTAGTGCGGGTCGTCGTTTGGTCGGGCAGTGGATATAGTTAAACGACATTGCTCAGCACTCAAGTAATTCTCGTTCTTTTGTACACGGCTAACACCGAGCTGAGCTAATCCCTCTTGTACACGAATCTCTTGGTTCTTGGCAGCAGATATTTTCCGGTACGATTGAACCTTTTATGTATATACTTTTGATTTCAGCTATTCGATCCCGTCGCGTAAAATTCAGAAATATAAAAGCAAGAATGAGCAGAAAAGCTTATTATACGTTTGTCTTCCTTAAAAATTGACAAATTCTATTTAGCCAAAAGATGATTTTATCAAAAATTAATGTTGCATGGCAGATTATACATATAAATTCTCGATATAAATATTGCATGATAAATAAGTTGTTTCCATGATCAATCATCAGTTGAGAAAGAAAAAACCATCAATCATTTTTCCAAGGAATTTACGTCGGAAGCGAGCGTGTTTCCTCTTTCGCTCAACAATCTCGTAAACAGAATAATGCACGGAACAAAGGATATGCTTCACCTACATGACTCTTTCATATAATCATACAATATGGGAAAGCACCACGGTTCGTTCTATACTAGAGATTATTTGCGGCGAAGATTAAACTCCGGCCATCGTGTACGATTTTCCTCCATATTCGCAAGTTGCCTTGCTGGCAAAGGCGAAGGCCTTAGAAAATGAGCAGCGAAAGCTTTGATACCTTGCTTGAGAAATAATTCACTGTTCCGTTCTCGTAAATTTCAAATCTCGGCGACAGGCAAACATCCACCGGCACCGCTTGGATGAGCAAGGCTTAATAATTTATAATCTCTGTCAAAGCCGCATATCTCTTTCTCGAAAATACCACTCGTTTCTGAGGTCATCGACCTCAAAGAGTACAAGGTGCGGAAACAACGGGCGAGCTATGTACACTACTATTACTATCTTCTTCTCATGTTTCCCTTTCGGTCTATCTTCATTACGCGAGGTAATCCCGCAGGAACAATACTCTCGCGTATGCTGTACTAAATACATGTATAAAAAAAACTTCTATAGCTTAGTATTAAATCGTTTTGTGTCATCATTGAAGTCATTTGTTTTTCCGCTGAACAATTCATCTGACAAATTGCCCCAAAAATGCCTCTTTGACTCTGATAACAATACGCGACTATATACAGGATTTACACTCGAAAAGCTTATTTTTACACAATGTCCAAAGCCGATGTTACATAATAGTTTCGAAAATATTATAATAAAAATACAATATTTATAATATACTTCGTTCAACCAACTAATTAATAATTAGCATTATGTCGTCATATTTTCTAATAAGCAATTGCACTTCTAATTAATTACATTTCAATTAAAATTTAAAATTTACACACACTTTGTTGACAAAAAAGTTTATCTATACCTTGCATTTAATCTTTCTACAAATTATTATCATTTACCCCTTTATCTTCTAAATCAACTAGAATAAGGAAAATTATCTATTGCAGAGTGGCGGCCAGAGTGGTGTATGGATAGTAAGCGTGATTATACTGTCGATTGGCACCTGGGTGGGCAGAGTCGGGCCACGTCCAGCGGATGGAGAGCTTGCGCTTCTGACATCGCCGCGTGAGCGATTGGAGACCGTTCGACAGGTTCTTTCTGAGGTGCCTTTGATCGACGGCCACAATGACCTACCGTGGAACATCCGCAATTTCCTTCACAACCAGTTGGCGGAGTTTGATTTCGACAGGGATCTACGTCAAGTCGCGCCTTGGAGCAAAAGCGCTTGGAGTCAGACCGACCTGGTCAGATTGCGACAAGGCATGGTCGGCGGTCAGGTAATTGCAAAAGGATATCAAAATAAAATAATATATAATAATTGAATTTAATCTAAATAATATATTCTTCGATAGTAACTTTGGAGCCAATTCAAATTTTTTAGAAAACTTTAAATAGATTATTAATCTTTATTCGTAACTATTCACCCCAAAAAAAATATTTTGCCGATAAGCGGGGAATTCCTCTTAGCATTTCCTTTAAACAAAAAATCTTACATCAGGCGCGTGTATTTATAACGTGTTCATCTCTATAAAAATGACGACATATGGACTATGATCAAAAATAAATTTCTCTATAGAAAATTCTATTACAATAACTCGAATAGCCTGAAATAAGAAGATATACAAGATATTAGCTGCACGTTTATTTGTTAGAAGTTTGTCATTTACGTATTACCGTAGCATGCATGTCAATACATGCAAGACATACTTCTAACATTAAGAGGATTGCAATCCTAAATCCAGCATTGTATGATTATACGAAATTCTTTTACTTTGTAGAGTAATGTAGAGTATTTTCTTGAGGCTGTATATAAATAGAAAATCCTCTAGTATTAACATGGAACCACAAAATGGCAGAATATTTTTTCTAGGTGTTATAATCAGAATTGAAATGTATAGTTAAGTGTATTTTTAACTTGACGTCCGAAACATTACCGTGTCTCTTGAGTCCTGATATATAATTTTTCTTGATATTGAATCTAACACTAACCTGAACAAAAAATATGTTCAAAAACCAAATTACATTATTATTCAATGTAATAAGCAATCTAGACTCGAATGTTTCGCGGAAACCGTACTAGAGATGACTAGGCGAGTTTCAGGTGTCGGCGATATTATGAGCGTGACGGATTGAATGCATCGATTATCGTCGCATGCAAGCACTCAGGAGCTCGTTAGATCTGAATGATGCGAACATTAAGCGTGTATCATGCTTGCACGCATATATATATTGTAGAAATGATCTAAAGGGAAATAGATATTGTATAGTATACTAAGAATAATGAATAAGATTTATAATAATCTCGTTGAATCTTTTTGCTTGTTATGCCAGTGAAATTTAAAATAAAATTGCGTATGAAAACATATATTTGTTCTAACTCAAGAATAACGAGGAAAAAATGTCATTTTAATAAAATGCAACAATTATGCGAGGAGTTGTACGAAATGGGAATTCATAAGATAAAACAATGTTTTTAAACGCAAACAACGTTGTGAATTCCAGCATTCTTTTCTTGTAAAGTGAAGAGAAGAATTGTATAACTGTAGCCAGAAATTACATTCTTTTGCATATTCCTGACGTTATTGTCAGATATAGATATGCAACATATATTGTAAAATATTATATTATTATAACATAAAGATATTTTGTCATTTTAATCAATCTGTGATCTTTTCGGTAAATGTAAATTGAAATATATTTTAATTAAAAATATATTTCTCTCTAAAAAGAAAATAAAAAGGACATATAAAGTATGCCACATTTTCTACGCTTTTCTTGGGATTTTTTCGCATTGCTCTTTAAATATACGAGAGAAATATAGTTGTTCCCAACTACCTGCGCAATCTTTTCCGACAAATATAAGGATTTTTTTTGTAGTTTTGGGCTGCTTACGTACCGTGTGAATCTCAACATCTT